AGTTCACCATGGTGGGCACCAGAATGGGCACAGGAGGCCAACTCGGGGGTTCTCTCAAGGTTCTGACATTCTCCAGCCAGTGACCTGCTTGGGATCTGCTGTCTCTGAAGCTGCTGCGTCTTGGCAGAGATTGGCCTTCTGCTGCTCTTGGCAGGCTAGAACCTCCTGGTGCTCTCAGAAGATGCCATGTTGTGCTTGGCAAGAGCATGAGGGAGTAAGGGAAGCTCAGTGACTTCTGACCTTGGGGAAGACACTGCTGGAGAGTAGAGGAGACCCGTGGCAGAACTGTCTTGAGATGTGTGGGGCAGGGGGGGGATCCCAAGCATGTATCCAAGCTTTGTCTTGCAACATTCACCCTCATTAAGAGCTATGCCTAATGGACTTCTGAAGGAATTTAAATACTCCCATTAAAACAGCTCTGTGTGCCCTTGTTTACTCCGTGAACAGCTCTACCCATAACTGACAGTGGTGTTCAGACACACAGTGGGCAACACCAACTCATTAAGTGGCCACCAGAGGTGTCAGGCATGTTATGTGCTAGACTCACATCCAGCCCCATCACTTCTAACCTGCAAGTTGGCTGCCACCCTGGGGCCAAATCAGAACTCACTAGTTTCTCAGGCCTTTAAGGGCTGGCTTTATGTGCCTGTGATAAGGGCTGGCTTTATGTGCCTGTGATACCACCCCAGGTACCCTAGATGACACACAGGCTCTGAAGGACCAGCTCACTGACACACTGGTCTTTTGTCCTCTGCCCTCCTGTCCAGCAGCCCTTAGAGCCAAGGACTTGTTTCTAGGCCAACCTGGCCTTCTCCCACCATTCTTGGGATCTGTGTGTTCTCTGGTAGACTGTGGCCTCTATGCAGCTCTCTCTGGCCACCAGTCTTGCCTGATGTATTTCCTACATTTATTTATTATTTCAACCAGTATGCTTTTTTAAAGGCTCTTATCCTTGGCACTGTGTGAGGATCTTGTGATGAAGGGTGAACTAGACAGATGAAGCTTTATCTGTGGGAAATATACAGTGGCATGGGGGAGAAACACCAATGAAGGCAGGTTGATGAGTGGCCAGAAGGTATGAAGATAAGACAGGGGCTGCTGGGTTTGAAAGGAAAGCCTAGAATCTGTTTGTTTGTTTGTTTTTAAAGAAATCTCCTGCGTTAATCTCTTCAAACACTGCTCAGTCCATGTAAAACATGCCTGTGGGTCAAACCTTGTCCATGGACTCCTGTCAGCACCTGTGGAAAAAGTGGCAGGGATTGACTTCTTTATGAGGTCTGACACCCACTGTCCACCCTGCCCCCTTCAGGCTGACATCTAGCCTTGCACCTTGATTCACAATGAAAGAGCAGTCAGGCATGCTGGTGCACACCTATAACCCTGGCAGAGGATCACAAGTTTAAGGCCAGCCTGGGATGCAAATGTGAACCTGTATCAAAATCAAAATAAAATCAGAAGACAAGAAAGCCCCAGAAGCAGCAAGCTCTTTTGGAAATGTGGACTTGAGCACTACAGATAACATTATTTGAAAATACCAAATGTGAATAGCCTCTTTGTTGGAGGTAGTAATGGTGTTTGGTTAAATAGGACATGTCCTAATGTTCTAGAATCATATAGTAAGTATTTAAGAATTAAGTATTGAGTCGTTATACTTGTTTATTATTTATTTTATTTTATTGTCCTGTTTCTGACATAGAGTTTCATGTAACACAGGCACTCCTCAAACTTGCTGTGTAGCTGAGGCTAGTCTTGAACTCCTGATCCTTTTGCTTCCACCTCCCAAGTGGAAGGATTACAGGAGTGCACCAACACACCCAGCTACAGCTACATTAGCATGGGCCAGAGATGCAACTCAGAGGTAGAGCACTTTCCTAGCATGCATGAGGCCCTGGCTTTAATCCTTAGCATCATACACCATCTAGTGAAAAGGCCAAAATGATGAAGCAACTGTGGGAAATGGTTCAGGTTTCATTAAATGAAGAGTTACTGAGAACTTGACTTTTTTTTTTTTTTTTTTTTTTTTTTTTTTGTATTGAAGTCAAACCATCGCTATTTACAGAGAGGATCACATGGCTTTCTCACATTGCTGGTGAGCAGCCTCTCCAGTGCCCGAGTCCACAGAGCACATGGAAATTCAGGCTGAGGACCAGAAAAAAAGCTGTTGGCAACAGTTCAGGGCTCAAGGTCAAAGACAGACAGCCTGCTTTGGTACTGAGGTGATGGCCATCCCTCTGTGCATACACAATGGCTTCTGCTAAAGCCAAGGAGGAAGTGAGATTTCTGTGAACTGAATAAAGGCACCTGTCAGGGAAAGAAGGCCAGGAGGTTTGCTTCTGAAGGTTGTGTTGAGTTGAGGGTCTAAAATTGCTCCTTGAAGACAAGTGTCTCTGCTCAACTGCCATTTAGTCTAGGGCCCTGGGCTGGTTCTTCCCATCCAGTCTTGTCACCAGCCTTGGCTATGTTGGAAGGATACTGCTTGTGGGGACCACAGGACATAGGGAAGATTTGAGGAGTGCGTTTGTTCACTCACAAGTTAGTGTATTCTGGAAAGTGTTTATTGTCCAAGCTTGAGGTCTGAGTTCAATTAAAACATTAAAATGCCAAGTAAAAGGAAAAAAAAAACTTAGCCTTAGCTCACTTCCTTAGAATAGCAACAAACTTGGCATGATGGTGCATACTCTGCTCACTGGGGAGACAGAGACAGGAGGGTTCCTGAGGCTCACTGGCCAGCTAGCCAGCTAGCCAGCTAGCCAGCCTACTCAGGGAACTCTAGGTAAAAATTTCTGTCTCAAAAATAAGGTGGACAGAACCTCTGGAGGGATGACACCCAAGGTTTTCCTCTGGTCTCTATATACGTGTACACACACACACACACACACACACACACACACACACACACAGTTAGACAATGGTTGCTGCTCAGTTGGCTCTTCTTTAATTGAGACAGTGTGGGTTCCCAGGTATTGGCTCTCAATATGAATGGGTGATAGGAAAGAATTGGGGTTCCTCCAGGTGAGACTCCCATCTGCCAAGTCACTGCTGCCTGTAGGACCTGGGTGAAAGAAGACATTCAGGTGACACATGGGCAGTCTAGACTGCTGGGGGTGGAGGGTCCTCTGGCCTCCACTTGGGTACTTGCCTTCCTTAGACTGTGGCTCAGCATAACTACCCATGCACCACAAAGGACCGTCTCTGACCTGTGGCTGTAGTGCCGAACATGCCTGTCCAAGCCCAGAACTGCCCACAGCTTCTCCAGGGTCCACAGCACCTTTCTCATCTTCTTGCTGTAGAGCCTTTCAAGCTGCCCTTAGAGGTTTTTTGTGCAAATTAAAACCCAGGTCCAAGTAGGTCTACCTGGCCCACCAACTCCCTCAGGAATGAATATCTAATCACTTAATGATGTGTTAAGTGTGGAGACCAAGGAGCAGAATCCAGCATCAAGACCCAGTGAGCACAGGCCAAGTGGCTCTGGCTTGGGCTGGAAGATCCTTTCTTGTCTTGGTCCTGCCAGGCTGTGGAGGTTTTGGCCACTGGCCTGGGGCAGTGCTGGTTGTGACCAACCAACCCAAGGCACTGGGGCTGTGCTGGGGGAACTCATGGCATGGCTTTGAACAAGAAAGCCATGCTGCCTTTGTAGTGGCCAGGGGAAGTCCTGCTGGCAGATTGGTTCTTCCTCCCACACATTCCTGAAGGAGACTCGCCAGAAAACACACAAGGCTCCATAAAACTGTAGTCTCAGAAAAACTGCAGTAATATCTGTATCTCTGCATGTCCAGTACTGCAGGGCCTGCTTTCCTATGTGGGGTGGACTTCTGAAAATGTCACTTTTCTGTCACCAGGCATCTGTGTCCACTTATGCTCACCCTAGCCCAAGGGGAGTTCTCTGCTGGAAAGCAGGGCACTAGGAGGTGCCATCTAATACATGGTCTCACTGGACAAAGAATGGCTAAGCCCCTGATTAGATGAGTGCTTACCTATGGTTCAATGGGGAGGGTGAACTCTACTCTAGGCAGCAGCTTCCTCAGTTGCTGTGTGATCCAGCAGACTTGTGAGGCTGTGAGTCCCTGCTCCCCACAGCCTTCTCCTCTCTGCACAGAGCCACCACAGGTCTTTTGCCCTGAAAGAAAGAACCTTCACTGACACCCGTACAGCCCACATTTCTTTGTCATGAGCCAGAGCTCACCTAGGCAGAGGTGTGCCAATAGAAGAATTACCTGAAGAATATAAAAATGAGGCATCAGATCATCACACATGTCCAAGCAGAGGCTCTACAGTGGTGTAGGCTACTGTCTGGGCAGTAGACAGACACAGGATGGAGTAAGGCTGGGTGAGGAGTGTGGAGCATTTGAGCCCCCAAGTGTACACACAGTGGTGTGACTGTCTGACTTGGACACTTCTGGGCTGTACCACACATTTTGAAGAGATGGTAAAATGTTTTGTTCATAGAACCTTTTTAATCAGTAACAGACTCATATTTTGAAAGCCTGCGAAGGCAAATTAAGCATGTACTCCAGAGGATAGTGGTGTGATTAATAACCATGTATACCTATGTGGTTACTAGATTCATTTATTCCCCTCCAGTGGCCTGTGAACTCCGACAGAGACACTGTAATGATTATGTTCACTGTTCTGTCCTTGGTCTCTGATGCCACACTTAGAATACTGTGGCACCAAGCAATAACCACCACACATAGTCATTCATTCTTTCACTCATTTATTTTCGGGAGCACACTGTACACAGGTATTGGACCTGCCTTTCCTATGCTTAATAAACATAGCATCCCAGGCATGTTTCCCATAGCACATGTAAAGTCTCGGAGACCAGTTGTACACAGCAGGGATGGAACCCATGCCTTGCACATGTTAGGCAAGTGCTCCATCACTCAACTGTACTCCAGCCCCTCTAACAGTTGTTGCCTGATGGGTACATGTTGGTCAAGATCCCCTCTGAGCTTATGGCACAAGCATACTGAGAGCCAACATTCTACCTGTGTTCCTAGGATGCCAAGTTCGTGGAGGAGCGGCGAAAGCAACTCCAGAGTTACCTACGCAGCGTAATGAATAAGGTCATCCAGATGGTGCCTGAATTTGCTGCCAACCCCAAGAAGGAGACCCTGGTGCAACTGGTACCCTTCCTTGTGTGAGTATCTGTCATAGAGGAATGCTCCTGGACCCCACATCGAGCTCTGCTTCCTTTGCACCTTTGGAAGTTAGGAGCTCTGTACAGTGTCTTGGGTTCTGTGGAGCAGGAGTACCTGGGAGCTGTCAGTGGGCTGAAATGAAAATTCCACCCTAGACTTTAGGTGTGTGCCTGAGCATCCTTGATGGTCCTCTCCCCAGGACGGAGTTTAAAACTTTTATTACCTTTTTAAAAATGTGTGTGTGCACGTGTACATATGTGTGTACCACAGTATGTGTGTGGAAGTCAGAGAACAACTTGCAGAAATTGTTTTTCTTCTTCCACCACATATGGGCCCCAACGGTCCCACTCAGATCATCAGGCTTGGCAGCAAATACCTTTACCAGTAAACTGGTCCCAGTGTTTGGTAGATCTTGGTCAAAGGAAAGATGCATTTTCTCCCAGTTTCTGAGGTGTTCTGCAACTGAAACATTCAGTGTGGATGTTTTCTATGCTTGGGTCCTAGACTCAAGGAAGAACTCCTGACTTCTACCTTAACTATGAATCATCTTAAAATGAAGTCCAAATCCTTTTTAACTCTCTTTTTTTTAAAAAAAAAATCTCTTTCAAAAGTAAGAAAAAAATTAATAATTTATATAAAGATGAGGAGGAGGTTTGCATGTCATGCCCTTAGAAAAAGATGGCAATTCAGGGTTGTCTGTTATCTTAACAGACATTGTCGTCTTCCTGTCCTAGCATCTCTGCTCCCTGAGATGATGGCAGGTCCCTTTGCACCTGCTGTACACCACATTGTGTCTCTGCTTGCTGGCTCCATGTACCTGCTTCTCTGGTACCATTGTTAGGCCAGGCGTATTTGGGCAGTGCTTTGAAGTGGTGCCTTATCAGAGACCAGTCACTCTACTCCAAGTGTCATCCTTGCCTGGGGCATTTATGTTCTTGCAGTTAAGATGACCAAGATCACGAAGCCCTGTGGTTTTGATGGTCTCCAGGTACTGTTGAAGGTGATGATATTGTTTCCAATATACTCTTCTCATGGAAGTTTTAGGTGTGAAAGGCTGTAGTAAAAAGCCCACAGGTCCCCACAGGTAGGTTTGAGAATCTCATTTGAGAAGCCCTTGTCTGAGTCTGCATAATTTGCTGGGACAAAATTAGAGTTCCCTTCCACTGATGCTCTTTAAAATGGTATGCAGAAAGGCATCTGGGGAATTCACTCCCACAGTGATGCTACAACCAAAAACAGGCTGATTTCCACTCTGTCTGAGGGATGTGCCAAAATTTCCAAGTTGTGCTTCTGACCAGACAGACACAGAGCTACTTTCTGCCCTGCAAAGGTCCTTTGTTGTAGCTGAGAAGGTCGCTCATGGATTCTGGTTGTTTCATGGTTTTGTGAAAAGATGTAAGTCGAATTACTGTGTGTTGAAAGATGGCATGAGTTGGGATACCATATCCAGTTATTAGTAGTGCCAGTGCCTGGGGTCCATACTTGGCCACATTACATCATGAAGAACACTAGTTCCTCTTTCACAGACAGCTCCAGCCCAGGTATGTGTTGGGAATTAACCACTCCCTATGAGCCCCAGCAATTTGGGCTTTATTTTCAGTTGTAAGGAGAGTTATCAAGCAAACCCCAAGAGGAATGATGGCAAGGAATCTGAGAGAAGGATGGCTTTTGTAGGATTCCAGGGTCCCAGATGACTCCAGAAAGCCAGCCACTCCAGTCCAGTGTTTGTTCCCACGTTCTGGGCTGTGAGCTGCTAAATTTTGACAACTGTGCTGCCGCATGGAATGCAGGCTCAGCTGTTTGTGTTAATCAGTGCTGAGAGAGAAATTTTCTATTCCTAATTAGCACAGAGCACAGGGGCCAACTTTGTGAGCTTAAAAAAAACAAAGGGAATTTCAGCAGGAGATTGGGGAATGGAAGTTTGACCAAACACTGGGCTAGATTTTGGGCAGCACTAAATAGCTATGTCCCTTTGGCTTTCCTTGACATTGCAAATTAAGATACATCTCCTGTCTTTTTTGGACAAGGTGAGATTTCAGGGTGAAAGCTGCAGGTGGTTCTCATTTGGGGGTTCAGAGAAGTGATCTGCAGCCAAGTCTTGCCCATACTAGCAAAGGTCCCCCGATGTTTGCTGTCTGTATTGCTCATAGAAGACCATGAGACCAGCATCCCCAATGAAGTTCCTAGCTAGAGAGTTCCAGTTAGACACACACACACACACACACACACACACACACACACACACACAGAGAGAGAGAGAGATACACAGATAAGTATACACATATACATACATTCACACATACAGATACACAGACAAATATACACATACACACATACTTTCTCACACACAGGTACACTGACAAGTATACACACACTCACATAGACACACAAACAAGTATGTACACATACATACCCTTTCTCACAAACAAATACACAGACAAGTATACATACAGATACAAAGTATACACATATATACACACAAAGGTAGATACATAGACAAGTATGCGCACACACACACACACACACACACACATATATATATACACACAAACATACTCACTCATATAGACAGATATACAGATAAATATACACACACATAAACACAGACACAAATGTATATGCGCACACACATGCATGCATGTATACATTTCTCAATTAAAGAAATATTCCATCAAAAAATTATTGTTAGTAAACCTCTGCAGCTATCCCTTGGTTCTTTCAGACACTGATCTTAAAGGTCCTGTCTAGTGAGTAAATGTCCAGGGATGCATTTCCTAAGACAGTGCCACAGTTAGATGGGCCAGCCTCATGCCATACCTGTCTCATCTCATCATCACCTAGGCTCCCAATGAATGCATGTTGTGCTCATTTTACTGGTGGAATTGAATGAAGGTGCCATTAAAATACCAACCTCACAAGATTTCATAACAGTTAGATTATAGCAATGTGATTATGTAGACTATTTTATAACATGGAAAAGCAAAGTGCAGTCAGAGAGGAGGCATGACTGATCTCAGGGCCCCTCCCAGCATTCAGGGAGCCTGGGCAGAATGGTGTCCCCACCTAAGTTTGGGGATACAGATGGGAAACTTAAAACCTGTGGACACTCCTAATTCCTCTGTTTCTGATGGCCAGACAATGGTGTTTTCCCCTTTGTTTTTAGTGAAGTAATTGCCTCTGTAAAACAAGTGAATGACACCAGATTAAAACATTGAAATTCCAGGCTTCTCTTGAACATAAGATTGATCTTGCCCTGTCCCCCACCATGCAACACTCAGCTTTGGCCATTGGTGACCCTGTTACCCCCACCCCCACCCCAGATCCTTTTGTCTCCTAATACTAGCCCAGCCTCCCTGCCACACACGTGGTTCTCTGGCTGATCTCTCACATGCTCAGGATGTCGCATGCTCATGGTATCACACACCCACAGGACCTGCCTAGGTCTACAGAGACTCAAAGGTGTGGCCCTAGATCACAGCTGCTCTTCCCAGAGCCCTTCCACATAGGTGCTGGACTGGAGATAGCATGTCACACGCTGCTGTCACCCATTCTGCATTTGCTTCTGTCATGTGCCTGCCTGCCTGTCTGTTCTGTGAACCAGTCTCTGTTTACTTCCCATTCTAGTAGCCTATCCCACCTGGAGATGGGATGGAGAGCAGGGCAGATCAGAGCCCCTGAGAGGAATTAATTGGCAGGTAAATTCCCTCCTGAATATGCCTGTCGTCCTCAGGGTTATGCAGTGTTGGACAGTACCTGCTGCCACCCGCACTCTTCAGCTGTCAGTGTCCCTTTGTGTTTGGCAATGATAGCATGTCTTTTGAGCAGCCTGGACACCCCTGCAGATCTGAGAGTAGAGAATCAGTGGGTTGAATGTGCCTTCCCTCACTTTTGGACTCTTTTCCAGGTTTTCCAGGTGCTGCCTGGAAAACACCTGCAGCACCTCTGAGGCATAAGTGGGACAATGGAAAGTGGGCATTTCTTCTCCACTTTGGACTCTGTACCAGAGTGACACATGGGGATGCCAGACATACCAAATAGGGAGAGGAAAGATGGCAGACCTCACTGTCCACTCTGAGGAGCCCCACATTGGCTGTGTTCTCCCAGCAGTTTTTTTTATTATTATTAAAATTTTTCATTTATTTTACATCTCAACCACAGTTTCTCCTCCTTCCTCTTTTCCCTCACCTCCCATCTCACCTCCCATCTGACCCCGCCCACCTTACAACATACACTCTTCCTCTGTTCAGAAAAGGGCAGGCCTCCCGTGGGAGTCAACATAGCATGGCATATCAAGTTGAAGCAGGACCAAGCTCCGCCCCCCCCCCAATCAAGGCTGG